AGGGCAGAGTGACTCCAAAAGGGCACACGGTTTCTTACTCAGGTGATAAAAATGTTTTAAAATTGTAGTGAGATTGTAAAATTCTGAATACCCTAAAATATCAATGTATTGTAAACTTATAATAGGAATTTTATTGCATATAAATTAATATTGAAATAGAGTTGTTTAAAAAATTCTCAGGCCAGAGAATCTCATGAGAGGTTTGTTTTTCCCTCCTTCCCGAGGCTGATTAAAATATGCAAGTTTCTCTACTGTGTCTTCCTGTATGACAGATTATTTTTCCTTTCCTTTATGCAAGATCTTCTATAAAATTCTCCAATTTTTTCCTTCTGTGTGGTGTATAAGTTAACAATATCAATGGCACCTTAGATCTAATAAAAAAATTAAATCTGGTCAAGAAAAATTAGGAAGGGGTGTTTGGGAAGCAGAGGTACCTCTCCAACCTGAGCAACAATTATCTTACGTAAAGTGGGGTGCTGAGCCAAAATAAATAGTCACACACACACACACACAGAGAAATCTAACTCTGTAAATACTATTTATAATTTAACAACTACAAAGAAAAATATTAACTAGATGTTTTCCAACAATCATTTACCAATTTTCACTCTAAATAACTTGAAACAGAACAAACTATTGCATGATAATGAATTGATCTACTCTGATGGGAGGAGGAAATGGTCTTAAATGCTTTATCTCATTTCAACCTATAATTCATAGCTCAAAAGAGAGTGAAGGTGAAAAAAGTCCTGAGAAATTCTTTGCTAAAAAACATTTCTATTTTCATTGTAAGCTAATTATCACCTGGCTAAAAATGTGTACCTGGCTAAAAATGTCAGTTTATAGAGATAAGGACAAATTCACCATAGTTCTTGCACATAAACATAATCAACCCCACTGCAATCCCATATGCAAGCCTTAGGACTTAATTAAATACATACACATGTCTATGTAAGGATAAATTCAAAATTGCAATAAATGCTATGGACTATAAGAGATGACTGCTGAGAACTATTAAATGTGCATCTGTTCTAATAGTTTTTGAACATAAATTTGATGGTTTTTTTTCAGATTTCTCTAAACTACCATAAAAAGAAATCTTGATTAACTAGTACCCGAACAGGTCTTTCAGTAAGATTTTTGTCCTGTTGCCCACTGTGATTTTATGAAAAAATGCTACCAAGTTACAATGATTCCAAGTGGTTGGCCAACTCTTACCCTCAAATGAGGTCAGGGCCCAACTTTGTTTGTGTCCACAGGTTCCCAGGTAAGCGCGGTATCCCAAAAAACCCAAAACCAAAGCCAGCTGCAAACTTCCAAGCAAAAGACAGCCCTCTTTTGGAATCCCTGAAACATTTATTTTTCTTGTATTATTTCATAGTTAATTTATAAACAGACTGTGCTGTCACAGATGGTAGTTGTGCAAAAGTGCTGAGTGAGGAAGAAGTAGACCAAGTTATCAGAGCACCAGGAAGATCAGGCCAGCCTGGAACTATCAAATCATGAAGGAAGATACAAGGCAGGGCTAATCTATAGATTATAAATTTTTATAGATCATAAAATGAGTCTAATTTACTGTCCCTCACTAAGAGGTCACTTCCTTAACACCAAGCAGATGAGAAAATGCACGAATATTTTAAATCTTTGAAAAGGATACGTTCAATGTGCCATTAGCACATAGCTCATTTTCCCTCCAGTTTGAAATATTGGTGATGCTTAATGTTTGCAAACTTAGCAACTTCCCAAAATAGCGAGCCAGATAAATAATACAGTTGTAGGAAAGATTAGGAAATAATTCTTTTGTGAACACAATCAAGGGCTATCTCATCTGTAGCTTGAATTTTTTCATTAGAAATTCAGGAGAAAGGGCCTCCCCTGTGGCTCAGCGGTTGAGCGCTGGGTTGTGAAGCTGCCCGCAGCCTCTGCGGCGCTGGTTCAATACCCGACTGCTCCCCGGCCACCGGAGGAGGATCCTGAAAGGCGGGCAGACCTCTCCTGCCACCCGCTGCTCCCCTTAGCAGTGTACTTCGGTCCTTCTGCCTGCTCTGCTCCCCGCTCTGTTTCTGGTGAATTCTCTCACCCTCCTGCACTTCTGACTGTACCCAGTGCTTGTATAAATAAATAAATAAAATCTTTTAAAAAAGGAAAAAAAAAAGAAATTCAGGAGAAAATATTCACAGGAAAAAATTTATCAGCTTGGCAAGGAGACTGTATCTTGCTAGAGGGTAGAGCACTGCTATCTGCACTCCAAACCATACTGTCTAGTTTTGTTAGCATAAGAATAGTGCTCTGAGCTTGACAGCTCACTGATCACAAAGGTAATGACATGACATCACAAATTTAAGAGGAAGTGAGAAAAAAATATTGACAAACAAAAAATTAGAACAATGTAAAAGTTGTTCACACCAACAACATTCAAATAATCTTTTACAATTAACATGTATTCATAATCAGAAGAAAAACAGTTTTTTACAGAAAATATTGAATAACAGGTTACTTCTGCAAGACTTTTAATTTAAAAAGGGGTCAATAATGCAAAAGTCAAGTACGGAAAAAAAATCACACTTTATGTTGGGGAAATGAAGAGAGTCATCGAAGTGAGATTTTCCCTGTGAGGAAGGCATATCTGACTAGTTTTCAAACTGTTACTTCAAACATTTTCAGTTCTGAAATTTCTTAACATATTAAACATGAGTCTCTACTTACCTAAATGCTAGATATAACTTACTCTTTTTTTCAATGTCTCAGAAACAACATTTTAAATATTTTCTCAGTGGCAAGTGTTAGCAACTAGGGTGGGGAAAGCACTAAAGAATCAATTTAACAAACCAATTTACTGAGCAACTACTATGTGCTTTGCTCCCATTGTCACACTTTAAAATAAAAAGATAAAATTTTATTTTATCTTGTCAATAAATCTATGAGGATGAAAAAACTGAGACTCAGAGAAACTGACCCCAGGGCTCCCTGGTAGTAAGTAGCAGGCTGGAACTGAAGCTCAAGCTTGCATGTCAAGTCCAAGGGCTTGTCTCTCTGGAAAGGTACATCTGTGTGTGTGCATCTCAGCAAACAAAAACCATGTTGCTGTGCTTTGGAGCTCTATGACTATCTGTCATTTTTTTTCTTCTTTCTGCCATTTTTGCCACTGTCAACACACTGTCTTACAAAACTACCCCCTCAAGATACCTTTTAGAATGCTGGAAAAATTATGCCAAAAAGCAAAGTTTATTAGAAACAAATGAAAATCATTATAAATGGACTCTGAATGGGCCCGATTTTTAGATGACGGACTCTGATATTAGACTTTCCTCTCTCACTTTGGACTCTTGCTAGAAATAGGATTTACATAAGTTCAAGGTCTTTTGTTTCTCTCTCTCTCTTTTTTTTTTTTTTTTTAAGTTCACTGTGCCCTTATTGGTTTTTCCATCTGTTGGATCTGTTCATTTCAGAAGTGTGTGGAGTCACCAACTCATTTCAGAATGGTCCCTAGCCCCTTCCCCCCACCCCGGAAGACCAAAAGGAAATTTTTCTCCAGTATTTACTGTGGATACCTGGTCAAGCTCCTGGAAGCGTGTTGTGGGCTCGCCCTATGACTGAAGCCCCCTGGAGTTTTTAGTTCTCAAAGTTGTCTATACTGAGCCTCTGCAATTAGTCAATTACATTTCAGGTTTTTCAACCACATTGGCTCCCCTGTGATTTCAGCATAAGTGTCTTTGCTCTGGTAAACAGAGACTCCCTACTCATTTGTCTCTCCCACCTTAGGGGCAGCAAATATAATCTATATCCTCTTTTTTTATGGATTGAAAAAGAATTACTCATTTTTCATTCTATTTAGCTTTTTACTTAAGACTAGAATTCATAAAAAAGGAAATGCAAACTCCTAAACAAAGATAATGAAGAAAAATTTTTAAAAGTATTATTTAAATAGCAAAACTGTTTCAGACAAAATGCAGTGACAGTGATGCTACATTTTAAACCACTTCACTTATAATGTATTAGAACCACATGAACTGATAAACTCTTTTGAAAGTGCTATGGAATGAATTGTATCTCCCAAACAAAATTCACACAATGAAGCCCTATCCCCCAATGTGATGGTATTTGGAGATGAGGCCTTTGGTAGATAATTAAGTTTAGATGAGGTCCTGAGAATAGGCCCTCATAATGGAATTAGTACCCTTACAAGACATCAAAGAATTTGCTGGCTCTCTCTCCCATGAAAGTGCAACAAGAAAGCAGCTATCCGCAAGCCAGGGAGAGGGCTCGCACCCTGATCTTAGACTTCCAACCTCCAGAATGGGAGGCAATAAATTCCGTTGTTTATGCCACCTAGTCTGTGGCATTTTGTTATGGTAGCTGGAGCTAATACAGAAAGGCAATTTGAAATATATGAAGAACAATAAAAATATTCATCCCTTTTAATCCAGCAACCCAAATTATGAAGTTAACCTTTGGAGACAAGTCAGAAATAAGACAAAGTAATACACATGAAAATAGTCATTATTCAGTTTTAAGTCTTTAAACCAATAACAATCTAAATGTATGACAATGGCAAAATGGATAGGTAAATAATGGTGTTCCACTTGATGTAATATGATGTCATTAAAAATTATTATAAAAACTATGTAGGCTTTTAAGAAATGATTATAATAAAACTAAGCGTAAATACTTTATTTGCAAAGTTAATGTGCAAAGCACAATCTAAAACAATGCTAAACATGTAATAATTATGAATAAGAAGTAAAAGGATTAGCTATGGACATAAAATTTAACTTGTTGGAAAACATGTTTTCTTCTAGTTTTAATTAATGTTATAAGAAATAATCCTCAGAATATATTTAATAACTTTCCTAAACAGTCACATTCTAACTTAAACTATAGAGAAGTGACTTTTTTCTGACAAGTCACTACTTTCTTAAAAAATTAGAATGAAATATTTATGATTTATATTTCTATACATTTTTTCTTTACCCCATACTTTTTATTATGTTAGTACTTACATAGAGATGGTATCCAAGGCATCTTCAAAGATGTCCTGGAAGGAAGAACAAAAAATACAATGAGTTTCTCAATAATCAAAATTCTGAATACAAAGGAAGTGTTTGCAGAGGCAAGGGATAGGGGGCAGAGGGACAGGGGACAGACCATATTGGTGGGATACAGTAGAACCACTCAACTTAACTCTAATGTAATTCCTTTCAGAGAAACCAAACATGAACTTAATTTTTTTTTTTCAAACAACAGGGAAAATATTTGAGTAGCAATACTGGGTTAATCTGAAGAGAGTATGATTTCTTGAGTGGAGTTACTTTTCACTCCTTAATCTCATTCATCCTACAGTAGATATAGGATAAAACAAGCAACAGACTTTCCCAATTTAGTCTTCTTTTTCTCTGTGGTAATCAAGTTAGCAGCCTCAGGGTCTTCATTTCACATCTAACTTCACTCCCCTCGTAGCTAGTCTTCTAATTTAAATTGTACCACTTCATGCCACTGGAGTGTTCAAACGATATAATAAAAGAAAATCCCAAGCACATACACATGAACACACACTCACATGTATGCACAAATTCACAGATGCAATCCACACTCAAACACACTGACTCACATGTTCTCAGTCTTACACATAAAATCATACTGTAACGCAAGGACAGGATGCTGAGCAGGTTATCTATGACCGGAGCAGACTGGTGAAGGAGAGTCCTGGAGCCCTCGGTGGCTTTTTCAGGCTTTTATTGGGATTTACCAGGTAGATGACAGGGGTGCTGGGGGGCCGGGAGGCTGGCAGGCCTCCCTGCCCCCAGCAAGACTTCACTCTTTCTGGGCTCTCTGGCATTCTCTCTGCTTCTCTCGTGGTTCTGCTCTCTGCTGGCGTCCCTGTGTTCCACCCTTATAAGCCCAGTCTCTCAGCACAGGTGAATCCCATCTACATATGCCCACACCCTACTCCAGATGCCCGCCATCAGGCATGCATGCAGGACTGTAAGGATCCATCATCAATCCTAATGGCGGGAGGGCGGTAAAACCTGATACTTTTTATACCCTACACATACACACTCACAAAATCACACATATACAAACAGTTCTCATAACTGCAAAAATCAAATCCAAGCTCCTCATTCAGGTATTTTGGACTGACTAAACCTAGTCTAGTCTTCAGAGCATCACCATCTACCACCATCGCCACATCCATGCTCCAGGATCTAACTAGTCTCCCTACTTCTGCACTCAAAACCTTCCATTCATTCTTCACAAAACAGCTATACTTATGCTTTTCTTTTCTATCTCTTATGTTAATAAGCTCACACCATGCCATTGCTCTAGATGTCTCTGAGAGACTTCCATTGCACTTAAACCCCAAATCCTTCCCATGACCTTCACAATCCTAAATGGCCTGGTAGTCTCTGAATACCTCTCCAAGTACCTGCCCCCTTGCTGACTCCACTCCAACCACAGGTCTGTCTGTCTGTTCCTTCAACAAGTCAAACTCATTCCACACCTCTCTCTTCTCTTTCCCAGTATGTTCTTCACTCAACTCTTCCCATGACTGACTCATTCTTACCCTTCTGTTTTAAGTTCAAAAAGTCACCAATCAAAGAGACAACTCTCCTGCTGATAGCCCTAATTAAAATTACTAAGACTAAAAGCCTTACTTATAGTTTCTTATCATGTGATTTATTTTATTTGTAATACTTATCTCTAATCATCTTGTTTGTTCACTTGGCTATTATCTGTCTCCATCAGGGTAGGTTCTTACTAAAGATGTTTACAGAAAAATAGGCAGGTCTTGCCACTGAGTTGTTGCACAATAAATTCATGCTACCCAGTTAACGAATTAATCAAACTTGAACTATCAAAGCACTGATATGTCACCTCATGTAGACTAAGGTGTAGTTATGATGAAAGAGGATTATAGAAACTTTCCTTTGTATAATCATTAATATTGTACAATGTTTAGACAATACTAGACTCTGCATTCAGGCAGGAAAGGAAAAAGCTGTATAAGTACTATATTCTGTAGTTATTTCCAGTATAAATACTAAAATAAAAAACAAAATTATAAGTGGTGGCAGAACTGATTTTAGAATTTGGTATCCCTGAATCTATTAATCTAAATTAATACCACACTCTGCAGGGAAGGCAGAATCAAGGGCAACTCCATCTCATCCTCACTCTCCAGAGATTATTGACTACAGCAAAGTCAGAAGCTCATTAGCCAGCTACTAGAAGAGAAATGACATATACCTGAAGCACAGGAACCCAAATCAAAAATAAAGAGATGCTCTCTAGCCTCTGTAAAAATTCCTAACTAGAAAAGACTCTTCTCTTCAAGGAAAAGTCTGAAAAGGCTCTTGGTATCACAGATTTTGTCATGTTGAATGATAGTTCCATGTCCCACACACCAGCATCCAGGTTGTCATGTAAGGGGTTGTGCAGGAGAGAAAACCTGTTCTCCAGGTACCCAAATATGGCCACAAGGATCAGCTGGCCTCTGCCAGACAACAGCCCCCATTCCCTCAGGTACCACTAACCTCACCAAAGCCAATCTTTACCAAGTGAGGGGGATGGAGAGAACAGTGTGCTGGAAGGCTTCTGTGTGGGTCCTCACTCATAAGCCTCGGCCAAGAGCAGGGCACACAGCAGAAACCAAAACACATTACTGAGTGGGCCTGCAAAGGATGACTCAAAAACCAGCTCTCCATTTAAAAGGAGACAAGGCTAATTAATATTCAAACTTTAGCAAAAAAATGCTCCAATCGCACCCTCAGAAAAAAAAACAAAGCTAAAGCTTATCCAGTGAGAAATCATCTTCACTGAAGTAACATCTCTGCATTTTGTCATATAAAGCATATTACACAACATGGTCACCATGGCTAAGAGTACTATGTATATTAAAAACTGCTAAGACAGTAATTAGTTCTTTCTTTCTTCTTTTTGAGAAGAACTGGTGTGTAGGCCAGAGATGCGGGGGCTGAGAGGATTTACCAGAGACAGAGTGGGGAGCAGAACAGGTGGATCTACTGAAATACACTGCTGAGGGGAGCAGTGGGTGAGACAGGAGAGGTCTGCTGCACCATATGTGGGTTACCTCCCTGGCAGGGGCTCAAACTCAGGCCATAGTAGTGATAGTGCTGAGACTTAACCCCTAGACCACCAGGGAGTCTCACTTAGTTCTTAACTAAAGTTAAAAAAAAAGTTATAAAAAAAAAGTTACAACTGTGAGGTGATAGATATGTTAATTCACCTTACTATGGTAATCATTTCACAATATAAACATATACCAAAAGATTATGCTGTATACCCTAAACTTACACATTGTTATACATTAATTATATCTCAATAAAACTGGGGAAAATACTTCTTTATTTAAAAAAAGTCAAAAATCTACTTTTTCAAATTAGCTGAATAGTGAGAATTGAAAAGATCCTCCATTAATAATGGAGAATATCCACCAGAATTCCAGAATATTCTAATGCAAGGGTGGAAGGGTAAGGAAAGAAGGAAGGAAAGGAGTCGAGGGAGGGAAGGGGAAAGAGTTTTTTGTCTATGAAGGTCAGATAAAGGTGAAGTGGTGTTTTGCATTTTTTTAAAAAAAAAAGTTAAGGAGAACTGAGATTTATTGCATTCCTATCATGTGCTAGCCACTGTACAAAAGCTATTTCATTTCCTCTTCCCAATTTACAGCATAATAATCCAGTCTGCCCAACATCATACAGCTAGTAAATGAAATTAGAATTCAATCTCAGATTTCTTTAACATCTATGTATTTTTTAAATATTAATAAAAATAATTGTCCAAAACTTGGAACTGTTACAGGGCAACCCAATGTGAAATGGGTTGGCCTCACTGTGGGTCCTCAACTGCACACTTAAAAGGGACTTATAATGAGACTTTCAACGTAGGCATACACAAAAAGGGTTATAAAAGGTTTTTTTTACCAAAAAAAGCGGGAAAATAAAGAAAGGAAAAACTTAGGGAGAAAGAGGGAGAGATAAATTGGTGAATGTGTCCTACCAGTTCCCCTGAGCTGGGACCCCAAAATCATGCTGAAAACAGGCAAAAAACCAAGTCCCCCCAAGGTCCACATGTGTGGTTATATACCAAGCCTGGCTGCTTAACTCCACCCTCAGTTCCCAGCAATCCTCCCTTCGGTGGTGATGGCATTATGGGATTTGTAGTCTTTGGTGTCTTGATCTCTTTGGTCTTGTTTGTGGAGTTTGTTCAGGACCTCCTTGCCCCCCAGCAGAACTATGGACAGAAGTAAGACAGTGGTGGAGAGGGCAGGGTAGATCCTCTCAAGGTCAACTGCAGCACTTTTGACCAAGCCCTCCCCGGGACTAATTCTCTAGGAGAATGCACGTGTGTTTGACTGGGCTATTTACCGATTAAGTCCAGATACTGTGAAGTTACATGTTCATTTACAGACTTCTGAATAGTAGAAAAGGTTACCTCAAAGGTTATACATTTATTGGGTGATAGGACATTGCCCAGCTTTATCTACAGCAGAGCATTATCTTTTTTTAAAACCTATAAATACCCAGTTTCTTGAATGTCCTATGAATGAGTTTACCACCTCACTAGTTTCCTCCTTGATGAGCTAAATAAAATGCTGACATGATCATTTTATGTTTTTATGAAAGTCACACCTCTCATTTTGGGAAATTATAATTCGATATTAATAGTGACAATACATTCTCCCCAGGTGTACCTGCAAATAGTTTCCCAGCTCTTTGGGAAAACTAGTGTGGGCTCCAGCTGGGGGTGAAATGTTAGAAGTTAAAGGAGACTCCTGTGCCATATATCCAAGGACCCAGGGCTTTTCCTTTTCCTTCTGTCTTTTTTTAAATTTTATATATTTTTTACATCATTTTTCATTTTTGCACAACGTATGCCCTTTCATTTTGGTTATAGTTCCCGTACACTTTCGACCCCCCTTTTTTGATCCTACTCCCTCCTCCCCTCCCCCGTAGTGTGTCTCTGGTTTATAGTTGCTTGTTAATTTTGACTTTTACTTTATTATAATTAGTCTTTTTC